GCTTTAAAAATATTCCCACTTCTCGAGGTAGCAAGTTATAAATTAGTCAATAATTCTTTTTTGGGCTACAAAAATGCGATCTCTGTCCTTAGCATTACTCCAACAAATTGAAATGTGTGAATAAGCCAACGCATAGGATCTCTTTAACAAGTCATTTTCCTCCAGCAAAAATAAAATTTAAACACAGTTTTCTGCCATTTAGAATAAGTCTATTCTTTTGAAACGATGTACTTAATTCATCCATAATATTATAAATTAACTGTTTCACTTCCTCAGGGCTATCCGCAGATATTGTAATTGTTAAGAAGTTAAGATATTCTTTATTTATCCATATATATGAACATGGTAGGTATGTCCATAAAAAAATAATAGTTACAAACTAGTACTTACTAGTTTACATAATATAGACATATAATATATAGAGAAAAAAAAACCTCAAGCAACATCAATTTGGCTAATATGCATTATCTTTTATAAAACATAAAAGTTGACTCTTAAATTGGTTAACGGTATTCCTAGTCTTAATTACGTGAGGAAGAAGATTGAATTGTACAACTCCTTTGTGAAACAGACTTCTCATTGTACTACTCCTAGAAGTTCTTTTAACATAATAGTTATATGCACTAGCTGTTCGTGTGTTACACATGTGTACAGCGCCGATCCTAGCCTTTGATCAGGGTAGAGCGAGATTGTTTTTCGGCGCCCTTTGGTCGACGCTTTCACTTCACGTTAATTCTACTTATTGAATTTAAATTAAATTAAGTAGCTCTAATTAGTCTACGTCTGCTTTTTGGTGCCCCTTGCCATCTGGCGCCTAGAGCGACCGCTCCTCTCGCTCTACCCCAGGGCCGGCGCTGCATGTGTATGTCTGTAACAGGCACCAATTGTCGTGTGAGATATTCCGGTAAAATGTTATTAATCATTTTGAAAATAAATGTCATAGTTTGGAAGAAGAGGAACTGTTTAATGTTAAGCCATTTTAATGTATTAAGCATTTGCTTACTGCTAGTGAAGCGGTTGCATCTTAGTATTATTCGCATTGCCTTATTTTGCAGAACCTGGAGTCTATTAAAATTTGTACAACTTGTATACAACACAGAGCAGCAATAGAGAAAATGAGGAAGTATTAAGATATTATACACAGTTCAGTAGTAGTTGATATAAATGGAGCCAATCTGATAAAAAATCCGATCCTTTTGCCGATTTTCTTTGATATATATTCTATATATTTGTTAAATTTCAGTTCACGATCAATTATTAGGCCTAGATACTTTATTTCCTGAACAATTTCAACTTTTTTAGTATTTAACTCGACACCAATATTTAGGCTAGCAAACTGTTTATATAGATAATTATTACCCAGGAACATAAATTTGGCTTTTAATTCATTTACTTTTAGTCTATTGATCTTAAATTTTTCTGTCAATAAGTTTAGTTCTAAATTAACAGTACTTACCGTTTCCTTAAAATTTGTATTCTCATAGTAAATAAGTGTGTCATCAGCAAAAAGCTGGATTTCACATTTTTGTAACACATTGCCAAGGTTATTAATATAAAGAATAAATAATAATGGACCCAGTACACTGCCTTGAGGAACCTTAAAGTTGTTTACCTGGCTTCTGATAAATTCCCATTCATTTTTGTTACTTGGTACTTATTTGTTATATAACTTGTAATCCAGTCTATAACGGTGTTCTCAAATCCATATCTCTTTAGTTTTAATAGTAGTTTATTACGGTCAATTGTTTCAAAAGCACGCTTAAGATCAATGAAAATTGCGCAAATCCCAACTCCTGCTCTGTCCAACAACTGCTTCCAATCTGAAATTACTAATTGCAAAGCCGATTCACATGAATGTTTATCACGGAATCCCGATTGATATGTGCATAGAATATTATTTGAATTTATGTACTTGATTACATGATCATAAACTATTAATTCTAAGATTTTTTCACAAAACGGCAACATATTTACTGGTCTTAACTGTTCGGCCAGATTCGTATTGGGTATTTTTGGTATAGGTACCACTACAGATGTTTTAAAACATTCAGGCATAACACCCTTTTCCAGACTCAAATTAATCAAATTTGAAAAGGATACCCTATTATGTGAAAAAGATTTTTTATGATATCACGTCCGATTCCATCAGTGCTATATTTATTTCTTTGTTTAGTCCTATTTTATTTAGATCTTGAAGGGTTATAGCATTAAATGATATCATGCTAGAATTTACACCCGGTATAGATTCATTAATTATATCAATATCGACATCATCTGTGCCTATGTTTATGATAATACCGACATAATACTGATTCAATACATCCGCCAAGTTGTTATTATATATTACTCCATTACAGTTCAAACTTTGCAGAGCGTGTTCCCCGCTTCTTTTCCCAACTAATTGCTTTAAGCTTTTCCACATTAATTTTGGATTTGACTTATTACTCTCTATATTTCTATCATAAAATACTGTTTTCGCTTCCTTAATAACTTTTACAGTATCGTTTCTTGTCTTGTAGTGTCATCTGCAAACATAGTTACATTTCCACTTTTTATGTAATTAGGCATATCAATTATATAAAGCAAAAAAAAAAAAAGGAATGGACCAAGTACAGAACCCTGTGGAACGCCAAGATTTAAGTTTATTAATGCGGAAAATTCATTATTTAACCTGACTCTTAGTGTCCTGCCATCCATATGACATAATCCAATTTAAAATATTTCCACGGAATCCCATGTGTACATAACTTTTGTTATAAAATTTTATTTACCGTATCAAAAACTCTTGACAAGTCAAACATTTAGTGTTACAACATATTTATCTTTATTTAATGATCCTTACATGTTCCGATTCGGTTAGGACAAAAATTGAACTTACAGGAATGAGGATGGGTGAAAAATAATGGACTTTTCCAGCTAAAAACGAGTGCCCAGAACTGCGCACCAAAATTTTAATTGTAAATGTTATTCTGTAACTGTAAAACTAATTGTTCAAAGATAAAGTCGGGACAGAATGCACAGCTAGTTGTGGTGCATCCGTCTAGATTCAAAATCTTTCCGATTTTTCTGGTGCTAGCTGGAATAGATCCCGCAGAGATTTGTCCAGCGCGCCTTGAGTAAGCACTGGGCCGACGCCTTGGCTCACTCAGCCATCGTCGTTCTATTCTGTTTCTTATATCTAGTGTTGGACTATACCACGAACCTATCATGACTGCATAGTTACAGAGTTGCCAGATTGGTCGGAACTTAATAAAAGGGATAAAAACGTACTTCTACTTTTTTTTACATGTTAATTTTCCTTATTCAGTGGTGCAATTATATTTTACGGCATCACTTTCTTTCATATGATTACATAGTGTACGCTTTGAACCTCTTGGTTAAGCCACTGAATATAATATAAGACACGTCTATGGTAAATGGAACAATGTTAATGTCTGATATGAGTAATAATATCGACCATTATTGTTAGATAACTAGATACATCAAATATGTAATGTTGATGTTGATAACATTTGTTAAGTATGTATGTTTTATTATATATTTGACTATTAGCGATATCAGTTATGAGATAATTTCAATTTTAGGAAAAGCTTATAGAATTATCTAAACATTTTGTATCTGTTTAATTAATGCAATTATTTTCTCCTGGTATTAATTTAACATAAATTTACTATATAAATAGAGCACACAACCATTCTTCCCAACACTGTCATCTGCAGCAGCTGGACATCGAACCCAGGAGTACATTAAATACACACACACATAAAATAACTCGACGACACATTTCCTGAATTATTGATACATATTTATTCGAATGTACGTCCATTTTGATGCATATATACATTTTGTATTTGGTTTATGAATGACCTCTCAACATTTATTGACATTTTTGGGATAAACTTTGAAATGCCTCACTAATTCGAATTTTTGTATTCTTTAGTAGTTGGTGTCGTTTCATACACTTTGTTCTTTAAGCAACCCCATAGAAAAAATCTAATTTGGTAAAATCTGGTGACCTAGGTGGCCTGATGACAGATCTATTAGCCTTCACTTAATATTTTATGGGATTTCTCCACCACAACCTATCCACTTGCCAGTAAAATTTTCATTTAGGAAATCAACCTGACAACTGTGAACTGGATCCATAAACATCTCTTACTTAATGGAACATTATTCAATAAATCGTCAAAATGATTTTGTACAAAATGATGGTACATGTTTCCATCCAACTGACCTCCAAAAAAATGCGATTCTATAATACTGTTTCCTACTATTCCGCCCCACGTATTAATGCTTTATATATGCTGATTTTCAATTTCTCTTGTAAAATGAGCACTTTTAATTTAACTAAGAATGACAGTTGTGTATATTTAGACTACCATTTTTCTGGAAGGTCGCTTCATAACGTCAAATCATTTATAAAAAGAGTGTTCATTTTCGTGAATCATATTTATAGCCCAATTACAAAACTCAATCCTAAGTCCAAAATCCCTTTCATCAAATCAATCCCTTTCATCAATTCTTGTTGGAGATTTATTTCATAATTAGATACTGGTTTAAATGATACTGACCATATGAAGATTTTCTACTACAAACGTTAAGACAAGATATTCATGTATCTTTAGTCCGTCTTGGTTATTTATAAACAATATTGCCTGTTTCCTCAAATCCTTCTTCAACACTTTGAGTTGCTTATTCTTGTGGAGGTCGCCGACCTAGATTTCTTTTTTTATAAATACGAGAAGCCAACAAGCAATTTCTCTGACATTTACCTAATATTTTTACAACGGTTCACTTCAGACATAGCAAAATGATATTATTTTATAGGGAATTTAACAAAGAATCTAAATATATAATAACATAAATTGAACACCAGAGGAATACAATCTCCTGTATCTCTGTAGGTACCTTGTGTGGAAGAGGGCTACACATTTAGGGACAATGAAAACACACTCAATGTTCGAGTATGCTAAGATTATCTTCTGGTTTAGAAAATATTCTAGCTCTTCGACCGGGGAGCGAACCCGTGACTCCAGGGTGGCAGGCAAGTGTTCTTACCACTTGACCATGAAGCCACACTAATATAGGGTGACATATTTAAAATAACAAGTTGATGTACCTATGTACGTCCAGTGAAATCTAAACATCCTGTAGAGTTCGCAATAATTTTAGGTTATGGCCCTTTAAAACCAAAAACTATTTTATATAAAATAAATTTTTGTATTTCGTGAAATGAAGCTGTAAGAAAAGAATTACAGATAGTTGGTCGACCTACCCTGTATATAAAAGTTCGATGAAATTGCGGGAGCTAAAATGTCCACGTGCTATGCTGCAATTTCGTCGCACGCGGCTTCTATTAACTTCAAACTCAGTTAAGAGGCAAACGAAACGAGATACAATTATATAGGAGTAACCTTGTTCAGAATTAAATTCTGAATTAAAAAATATGTATAAAAAATTCCATAAAGTTAATCATTTTCAAGTTAGAAGCCGTCAAATTAAACGGAGGTTGTCATACAATATTCTCGCTTAAAATCAAAATATTACCACAAACAAATTTAATATGAGCATTTTCTGTTGGAATATTTTTCTTTACAATGTCTTTAAGAAAAATCTGTAAGGAGCATTTTGAAAATAAGGATAAGGAGTATTGTTTCGGATATTTGTTGTAATACAATCATGCCAAAACAGCGTAACATTTTTGTTTTGTCTACTTACTTGAAAAGTCACACAGGCAACTCGATAAGCTATCAGGTTCCAAGAACATTTACACACTATTAGTGCACTGTAAAACGGGGAAAAAAGTAGCTTCCTTCTTGAAAAAATTTTTTTAAGGTACAACCACTTGGGACCTTCACAGCATGATAGCCTAGGTCCTTGGCCATCTGTAATGGCCAATTACAACATTTTTTTGGAGGTCAAACTTTTTTTTATTACGAAGAATGTCATAAATTTGTCAAAATTAATTTTCCTTACTTTTTCACATATCCCTCATGATATCTCCGGAACCAATCGAGATAATTATAGGTATTTTTTTTTAATTGATAAAGGAAATGTGGGCGAAGGTCACTACTTTAATTTCGTTTTTATGGAAAATTTAATTTTTTTTGTAAAACTAGGTAAAACTGGAACGTTTACTTTCCTTGCTGCATTTTTTTCGGTAAGCGAAAAACTTTTTTTATTTTATGGAATTTTGTCATACCATATGTGTATGAAATAAAGCTTACACTTCAAGGAAGTTTTTAAAAAAAAAATCAGTTCTCTACGACTTATAGTTTTCGAGATTTTGTTTTTTTAAAATTACGAGTTTTTCGATCCTAGATGCGTCTCACTGCGGCGCCACTCAAGTGTGTAGAGTGTAGACTATTGAATACAAGTAATCTTATATTATACATATATTGTCAATTAGAAACAAACTTTTCTTTGTGTAATGTGAATGCGAATGAGTATTATTTTTATTGAGTTTTTACATATTATTTAATGCTTAACAATGGAATGTTTATTTTATGTTATCAGAATTAAAATCAGGTAATACAATTCTGGTAAAATCTGTTGATACTGATGTCCTGATTTTGCTTTTACATTATTACTGTGAAACACCAGATATGTCACAAAGAAATATATTTATACAATTAGGACATAGTAAGAATATACATTTTTTGTCAATTAACAATATTGTGGCAAATTTAGGAGAGGAAATTTGCAAGAAAGTATTAACGATTCATTGCCTAACTGGTTGTGACACAACTAATGCCATGTATAAAATAGGGAAGAAAACGGCATTCGATGTTTTATATAAAAATTTAAATAATTTAAAAGATTTAGAAAACCTTCCTTTTCTGTCAGAGGATAAAGCGATGGAAATAGGGGTAAAATATACGCTTTATTTATATAAGAATAAAAACAAAAATATAAAATCCCTAAATGAACTGCGATAGGACTTAACAACAAGTACAAATCGGCCAGCTTCTGAGCTGCCTCCTACTGACCATGCTTTCAGACAACATTTAAAAAGGTAATAATTATTTTTCTAGATCGCCCATACCTATTAAAAAAAGAAACAAAACACCTACATGTAATTATTTTCTTTTTTAGGTATAATAATATAATAATAACACCACATGAAATTACAACCCTCTTTATCTCTGAAGGTCTGGAATGACCTTGTGTGGGAGAGAGCTACACATTTAGAGACAATGGACACACACCCAATGTCCGAGTATACTACGATTAATCTCTCTCACAGAAAAATCCCAGTTCCTCGACCGGGAATCGAACCCGGGACCCCGAAGTTTTGAGGCAAGTACATTACCACTAGGCCACGGAGCCAGGTGTCTATATCAATTAGAAATTTAGTACAATAGCCATATACAATACATGCAGATGGAAGATCCAACTCGATACGGTTGGACATTTGAAGAAAATGTTTGGAAGGCAACTTTTTCTAGTCAAGAATCTGTGCCCGATATTGTAAGGCAAAGTTTGTCAATAAGATGTTCCGACAGGGTCTGTAACAACAGATGTACCTGTTTTGCTCAAGGTTTGAAATGCTGCAGTGAGTGCAAATATGCAAACTGCTGCAACCAAGGAACTGTCTAGATATTTTTAGATACCGACGTTGACGATTTTTAAAATATTTTTATAACAAGTTTTAAATTTATATTTTAAAATAAATAATTATTTCGTATTTTTTTTAATTCAATTTTAGGTTTTAATGTATAAATATAATGGATTTTAAATAATGTGCAATGTAAATAATGATAAGTAAAACCTAAGTGCTTATGAAAATAAAATTTATATTAAAGATATGTCAAAAATAATACTTTATAATATGCACCCACAACACGCATAGCACACTGATTAAAGCACAGTAGAACCGGGGGAAATATCCTGCCCGCAGAAACTTAATTTCAAATAACAATAACTTGAAACGTATAAGTCGTAGAGTATTGCGTTTTTTTTTAAAAAACTTCCTTGATGTGTTAATTTTATTCCGTATGCATATACTGTGGCAAAATTCCTTAAAACAAAAAAGTTTTACGCTTACTGAAAAAAAATACTGCAAGAAAAATAAATGTTAAAGTATTACCTAATTTTATAAAAAACTAGGTTTTCCATAAAGACTAAATTAATTCAGTCACCTCCGCTCACGTTTCCTTTATCGACTAAAAAAAAAAAACTTGATTATTTCAATTGGTTCCGGAGATATCGTGAGGGATGTGTGAAAAAGTACGAAAAATTAATTTTGACAGATTTATGACATTTTTCATAATAAAAAAAGTTGGACCTCCCAAAAAATGTTGTAATTGGCCATTTTAGATGGCCAAAGGTCTAATCTATTATTCTGTGAAGGTCCCATGTGGTTGTACCTTAAAAAAATTTTTTGAAACGTTTTTGTCGGTTTTTCAGTGTACTATATACCACACAGTCGGCTGTGATTTATTCATTAAACGGACATGGAAAACTGCCGTAAAAAGCAATTCATTAGCAAATAGAGTGAATCTAGTTCAAACTAAATACAAATTACTTGCTTCATGCAGTAAGTAAAATGGAATGGCCATGATATCTAACTGGGGAAACAAAACATCGGCACAATGCCAAAATTTCAAGCAACCTTCACCCTAAGCAGGAATTGTTAGGTTCACAGATTTTAAACGCTGACAAATGATTCACAGAACTGTGAAGAATACATAAACAAATGTTGGTTATATTTAATCTGACAATCTTCAGGGAAAATACGAATACAAGTAAACATAAGGAAAAAAAAGTTCTTTAAATTATTTAATTTACTTGGACTAAACGCAATACTCATCTACACATCTTCTACAGGGCGATTCCTTTATCTATCTACAAGCCATAACAACTAAACCATTAGAGATATAAATACGAAATTTTGGAATTTATGTACTATATCATATGAAGCTCAGATTAACAATGCTAGATGAGTAACAAAACATAAAAAGTTGTCCGATTTATCTACATCTCACACGAGATACGTAAATATTATCGCTGGTTTAATTTCTATTGGTCAGAATCATGAACGCAGCACGAAGAAACCCGATCGATGCCCGATCTATCACCGTCTTGACAATAAATAGTGTTCTGTAAGACGACGTCTGTCATTTTAGTCTGTGTTGTTAAGTGATTTTAAAGCTTTGGTATTTGGTATTGTGATTAGTAATCGATTTTTAGTTATAAAAAATTTATTTATTGAGAAACAATGACTAATAAGCGTGTAGTGTGCGGTCAAAGTGGAAAACCACGGGGTTGTTTATATTTTCAGAGGTAAGTAAACAAAACAAATCAGGGCCTGCATAATGCGAAAGTGTGAAAGCTCAAAAATAACTAAAATTAATGACAGTTTTACAAAAACAAAAACAACAACATTTGATTCCATTTGAACAGTAAAAAATGCACATTTTATCAAAAAAGATACTTATACAAAAATATTTATTTTAACTTCAATGGAAATTTCATTCTTAAGGTTGCTCACAAACTGTAGATGTTTTAAAGTCAATTGATATTTTTTAATTCAATTTTATAGGTTGTTATTAAAAAATATGTTTATTTTCAGATTTCACGAGAATCTGGAGTGAAGGGAAAGTTGGCTGAAAGCTCTCAAAATGGAAAATGCCAGTAAGTGGCACTATGTGTGTTCACAATACTTTAAGAAAGGGGATTATAATTTATAAGATCTGGATTAAAAGTGTTGAAAATCAATGCAGTTCCATTTTTCCCCTGGCAACGCTGTCACCAACTTCGTCACACATCCTGTCCAGGTTAGTAGAGAATTATACTGAAAATTAATAATATACTAAGTAGTCTCTCATTCATACCTCATGAAATAATATCAAGTAGATAGGTAGGTACCTACAGAGCATCAACTGTTTTGTTGAATCTTACTTTTATTGCAGCGATGTAAATTTGTATATTTCAAAGAAATCTCATTTGTTTCAGCATTGAAAATTTAATTCCTTCGTCACCATTAGTACCCAAGATAGCAAGGTATGTTAAATTTAAATATACAGGGCCCGCCATTTTAAACTCCCCTGGTCCTATTTTTATTATTATTATT